TGGAAAATCAATATATTTAAATGCAGTTTTTTTTACAGTAATAAGTATGGACATTCTGGTTGAATAGCATAATTTTTCGAGTCCTTTTTTTAAAAATTTTTCTTAGGCAAATAAGTTTTTTAAATTTCCAAGATACCTATTTTGTTGATTGTATTTTTTAAAACAGTAAAAAAAAAAAAAAATATTAGTATTTTTAATGAAATACGCCCAAGTTAGAGCTAATTATTGTTTGAATTTCTAAGAATTATAGTTTTGTTACCTATGCAAACGGCATTAGCAAGATACTATTCTCATGCTTAGGTAGTTAAGTTCACTTCATGATAATTAAAATACTTAAAAATAGGAAACCAGTTTCACTATTCACTGTTCTGTAAACGATAAGACACAGCTATTGTTATTACCTATTTCATTATTTCTATTAAAATCAAAACTTTAATTAGGTATGTATTAGTTTTGTCAGATTTAAATAGATATTTTATTATTAAAATGAAAAAAACCATTATTTTTTTTGGAATTATTATGAATTTTTACATACAAAATATCAGTTATTAAAAATTTAAGTTTTTAATCTTATAACTGAAAGCTTTCACTAATAATTAGATAAGATTCCAAACGTCAACGCGTTCAAAACGCAAAACCGCGACAGCAGCGGTGTCACGCGGCAACGCTCGTCAAAATCGCGCTAGTCTGACGCACTCCATAGTATGTGTTTTTATCTCGCGTTTTCACAGCGCGTCAAAACCGCTGTAGTGTGTCGCGAACCTGTCATTATTTCACGTAGGTAGGTAAATATTATGATTTATACTTTTATATAGAACCCGAAACGGCCATCATTCGTACGCGTAATAACTAATAGATATATTATATTATTTTAATAACGGCTAATATATTAACTCGACATGTACAAAATATTATGTTTAGCTTAAAAAATAATATTTAAATATTTTTTACTACGCGTTTTTCCTTAGTGCGTCTACTTATAATTGTGGTAGGGCGATGACGTGCTTTTCCGCAAAATGTCGAGGTCACTGTAGTTGTATTAGTAGGTACTAGCTATTATATTAAACTATTTTTCCGCGTTGTGAACGTCACTATTCGTCACTGACGACGTACCTATTGTGATGTATAATATTATACCTATAGATTTAGTGATTACTTATGTCTTACTAGACGTATACTTTTGTACGTAGGATACTAGGACAGTATTTTTTTTGTTCTAGTGCCCTTATAAACAGTGTTAGGTATACCTACATGAAACTGTACTCTTTTTTTTTTTAAATATATAAACTTGTAAATACCTACTACAATAATTGTCATAGTTTAACTATTCATTTATTTTATCACTCAACCAAATGTATTTATGATTGATGCATATCACTTATTAATACTGGAGTAGTTGTATTATGTGTCTAGTACCACATATTTTAATGTATTTCCACCGATTATCATAATATGTATAAACCACAATATTATAGGCACTGTACAATATTGTACATTATATTAATCGCGGAAAAAAAGCCCAGAAATATAAATATGGACACAATATTATGTATAGGTACGTCATGATATATTGTGTTATAACTTATAAGTTATAAGTCTTATATCTTCCTCAGCACGTGCGTTGGTGATTGAATAAGAATTATATATTTATATATACATTCTTATAAGAATTTATTTACAATTTTAAACCAATTACTACTCAATGATCTGTTCTAGATGTTATCCAAATTTATATTAATTCTCATATCAATCACCAACGCACGTGCTGAGGAAGATATAGATTTAACTGTGTCACCCGGAGCATTTTTCGAAGAAATCCAAGAAGCCATCTTATATGACAAAAGTATTCCCTTGGTATACACGCAAGAAATCCAAGATAACAATTCAAACAACATATAAGCTGGGGGGTAGAAAAATATTGTAAAAATAAAAACACCAATGATTGTAATATTATGAAGAAACGTTAGAAATCCTAACTACCATAAATAAAAATATAGCGGACAACGACAAAGATATATAGAGATCATAAACCTCAACCTTAAAAATAATAGATCAAAGAGAGGCATACAATTATTCGGGAACCCTTATCATTTCTGTTGCAATATAGCTACTGAAAAACAATTGAAAAAGGTGGGTAAGTGGATGTCACTCTGCTGTACAGTAGGTTACAAGTGGGTCACTGTATAATGGATGCTATTAAATTTGAATTCAATGATACAATATCATTGTATAAGAAAAACGATTCTGAGCGAAGACGGTATGTCAGTCTAGGTATATGGCATATTATATACTTATTTATGGTATTAAAAAAATTGACCTATAATAGGTAGGTAGGTACCTACAATAAATTCCAAATTAATCATATCACAATATCCATTAGGTACTTATAACGCGTTTTACATAAACAAAAAACCCTAATACTATCATAGATATATAATATAGTGTACTTTAGAAGTTTCAAGTAGGTACCCACGAATAATATTATATATTCACAACAAAATAACTAGGTTTTTTAATATGTAATTTCGTCCAAATTTGAACATAAAATGACTATAAAAATAAACTGTGATTGTATATTTTTTAGATTTTTCGGTAAGAGAATTAACTACTTACGTGGAATCTTGTTTTAAATTTTCGATCCTTATAGCTATAAAAACTGAACATTTTATAATTTATTAATTACGATGATTAAAAATTTTCGAGATTTTGAAAAATTCTGTCAAAATTCGAAGTTTAAATGCTTATAAAAAAAAATTCTGCGTATGTATTTTTAATATTTTTCAACTGATATTGTAACAATATATCAGGAGCCTTGTATTATATTTTTACACTTTTTGGCACAACAGATAAAACTTTATTGATATTCATAGAAAAAAAAAACTAAAAAAAAATTGAAAGCTGTAAATGTCCGTAAACAGCTCAAAAGAGTCAAAATATTTTCGAAATCGTATGGTGTATAGGAAATGCTAATATAAACATTCAGTGAAATTTTCATGTATCTATAGTTATTCGTTTATGAATAACAACAAAATAAGGAAATCGCTACATGAGAAATCGAGAGAACATCCAATGTTGTAAAAATTTGAATTTCAAACGCTCATAAAAATTTAATTTGACTGTCCAGTAGAGATTTTTTTATTGATAAAGGTAGACAAACTTATGAGTAATCTTGTATTACATTTTCAAATCTTAGATTTAAAAAGAAAAATGTTTACGAATTCTTAACTCAAAATAATTTGCTAATTTTCGTGATTTTTCCATATTTTGTCAATTTTTGAACTTTAAATGCTTATAAAAAAAAAATTGTAACTAACGATTTTTAATATTTTTCATCTGCCTTTGAAACAATATTCTAGGAGCCTTTTATTAAATTTTCAAGTTTTTTTAACCAACAAATACAATTTTATTGATATTTCTAAAAAAAAAACTAAAAAAAAAATGAAAAATGAAAATGTCCCTAAACAGTTCAAAATAAATCAAAATATTTTTAAAATATGTATAGAAATGCAAATATAAACAACCAGTGAAAATTTCATGTATCTACGGTCATCTGTTTTAAAGTTACACCAAAAACCAAATTCAATTTTCTGAAAAATCGATTTTGCGTAAAAATTCCCGTTTTTCCTTAATTTTTCTTTTGTTTTTCTTGGTGCTTTTGAAAAGTACTGGGCATTTTTAATTTTGACCTCCCCAATGCACCAACGATATTCACTTTCCAATCGAACAAGATACTGATGTCGAAAATCGAAGCATTATTTCGACTACTTATCGTGTACATGGACACAAAAAAAAAATAAAAAAAAAAACACATCATTGTAAAATCAATAGATTCATCGTTCCACTCAGAAACTAAAACTATTCAAAATGATAAGTTCATTAAAGAAAGATGATTCATAGGGCCAATGCAGGTTATAAATGTTAGAGTCTATAAAAATATTTCTACTATACTTAAATTCTTAAAAAAAAAATTGAAGCGGAGAGTTAGCACCCGCAGGCAAATGCGTTTTAGAAAAAAAAAAAATTAGAAAATAAACAATAGGACCCCACATGAAAGAATTCAAAAAAAATGTCCAGATTCTTAAACAGATAAAACTATTTAAAATAATTAGTGCAGGTTATCAATGTTCACATCTAAACAAAAAATTTAACTAGAGTTAAATAACTAAAAAAAAAAAATTGAAGGGGGGTGTTGCGCCCGAAGGCAAATCCTTTTAGAAAACAAAAAAAAAATTAGAAGAAATTAAACAATAGGACCACACATTAAAGAATTCAAACGAAAATGTCCAGATTCTTAAACAGATAACGAAAACAAAAAAAAAATTAGAAATTAAACAATAGCACCACATATTAATGAGTTCAAACTAAAATGTTCAGAATCTAACAGAAAAAACTATTAAAAATTATAAAAACCTTAAAGAAAGATGATGCATAGGGTAAATGCAGGTTATCAACGTTAAAGTGTAAACAAAATATTTAACTAGAGTTAAATCACTAAAAAAAAAAATTTGAAGGGGGGAGTTTGTCGCGGTCGTTACCCACCACGCGGGTAACGGCCGCTGCGTGCGCTCTGCCCGACCGGTCGTCGGTACGCTCGACCCGGGTCAGAGTGGGGGTGCCCGTGCCGTGGGTGGCGACGGCGGTCTCGACCGACGTCTGCGCCGGTGGCGCGGCGGCGCCTCTGTCTTATTCCTAACGCGTTACGTTATGTACGCCTGTTAACTTATGTTCAATATATAATAAAGTATACATTAACTATAAACATCGTATTGTTATTGAGTGTACCATCTTCCGCTACCACAACCAGGGCACCGTGTCATTTGGCGCAGTCGGTACAGGTTTCAGAACCACGAGGCCAGAAACAGGTAAGGAATTTAAATTACCTATTCATAACCTCCAAAAAATAAAATAAAAACAACACGGGGAATATACCCTCCCTACATAACTAAGATAGCAAGGCAAAATCAATAGTAGTAGGTAGGACCTCCACGTGTTAGTACACGATGCAATCTGGTCAGAAAACACTCAGCGAACTGACAATCGGGGAACTCAAAGGGGAACTAACCAAAAGAGGGTTAGGAACCATGGGCACGAAGTCAGAACTTTACCTAACACTTGAACAATACATTCAGGAAACAGAGGGGGAAAACCCACAAAACTACGTTTTTTACAAAGCGCAACAAAATCCCCCACAACCACCAACAGCCTGGGTGACGGAAACACATCCACCCGGAGGCAGCAAAAATAAGGACCAACAAATCGATACAGAACAACAAAAAACCCAGGACAATAGGAAAACCCAAAATAAAAACGGGGAAAACCCAACATCCACAACTAACTTACTAGAGCGGACACTCGCAGAGATTCTAGACCGACTAGTGAAACTGGAGGCGACAAGCACAAACGAACCGATTCTAGGAGCAATGGAAAGCCTGACAGAGCGAATCAAAAAACTGGAAAAACCCGGAAACGGAAAAAAACCCGGAAAACTTCCAGGAAAGTCAAAACAACGAAACCCAAAGAAACCCCCCGGGGCAACACCAAAATCGAGGGGATGAAACCACAACCACCCAATATGATACAATTAACCAAAAAAAAAATGGTTACGACACATATTCCGAGCCACAGGGGTTTACCGGTTTTAATAACAGGGAAAAACCCAACGAGTACTCTACACTGTTCCCAACCCAAGGGACAAGTACAATGGTCACCACAAGTATCACCAACGTAATCACATCAACGACGTGTGCTAACACAAACAGCAGAGAACCAAACCATCCCATACCCGGACACTGGGAAAACCAGAACCACCGAGTGGGTTTCTCCAACACGGAGAACACAATAACCAATGGCCCATATACCGTAACGTACGGGGAAAACCACACACAAAGGGATAATACCCACCAAACAATGATACGGGACTGGCCGGAGGAGTCGAACCTATTACCACGCGAAAACCTGCAGGCAGCAAAAGACGCGCTGCCCGAATACTCGGGGAAAAAAGAAGAGGACCCCACACGCTTCCTGAACACATCAAGGGACGTGCTCTTAGAAGCAAAAATACCACGACAACGATGGGTAAAAGTACTGGCTTCACAACTCAAAGGAGATGCTGGAACATGGTGGGGGAGAATAAGAGCGATCGACCCCACATGGGAAGAATTTCACAGGGAATTCACCAACAAGTTCAACGGACCACAAGTCAGAGCGAAACTGCATACAGAATTGATGGGGTGGAAACAATACTATGGACAACCTACGGGGGACTTTGTATTACAAAAAATCCAACTATTCCGAAGACTGAATACTGGACTGGACGAGGAGAATGCAGTGGAGACCATCATACAACTAATGAGACCAGAACATCAGAACCTAATAAGGGTGCAAAAACCAAAAACATTTATGGAACTCAACGAAGCAACATACACGGTCACAGACCAAACCCAGACAAAAGGGAAATCACACTGGGATAAAACTGAAACCGCAAAACCGGAGTTAAGCACACCACAACAAAACAGGCAAAGAGAATTCTGGAATACCACGAAGTCGGGAAACGGGAAAATGGTCGGGGAAAACCCACCGACCAAAAAATAAAAAACCCAACACAACAACTAGAAAACAACGAACACGAACGTGGGGAAAACCCCCACGCCATAAACAGCAAAAACAAAAACCAAGGCAAAACAGAAACCAAAATACTAGCGGTCACAACAACGGAACACCAGCAACAAACCACACCGATTAATACCCGAAACACCGGATCAGAGTCACAAAGAGAGCTAACACCAGCAGACAGGCCAACGCCAGCAGTGGAAATGGAATTCCCAGATGGAATTGTCATCGCTTTGCTGGACTCACAAGCGGAAAAAACGTATGTACGACCATGGATAGCCGAGAAATACGGAAAACAGGTAAACAAACGCAAAACCACCGTAAGAATGGCCGACGGACGCACCCAGGAAACCGACGGAAAATGCCGGATAGAGGCGAAAATCGCTACACTAGAGCTGACATTCGAAGCGGAAGTGCTAAGAGAACTGGTAACAGACATCTTGATAGGCCATGACTTCCTAATGCAACAACAAGCAGCATGGGACTACCACGCAGCCACAATCCACTTAGGTTCCGAGAAACGAACAACGGTCAGCTGGCGTAGACAACCAAGCCCGACAAAAGAAAAACCCGACCTCACAGAACTAGAAATCCTGAACGGACCAGAGGAGGATGCAATCCGGGAAATACTAGGGAAATACCCAGCGGTGTTCAGCAACACCGTAGGTAGAACACGGGTTGTAGAACATGGAATACGACTGACAAACGGAAAACCGGTAGCCCTAAACTCATATCCATACAGCAAGGAAAAAACGGACCTAATATCAAGTATGATTCGCGACATGGAGGAACAAGGGATGATAGAACCAAGCATCTCCCCGTGGGCAGCACCAATCGTCCTAACATCAAAAAAAGACGGATCGAAAAGACTTTGCGTCGACTACAGACGCCTAAACCTACAAACAGAGTCGGACGCACACCCCATACCGGACCTACATGAAATGGTCCGAGGGATGGGCGGCACGAAAATATTCAGCACACTAGACCTAAAATCCGGTTACTGGCAGGTAAGTCTAACACCAGAAAGCAGACCACTAACAGCGTTCCGCACGCCAAGGGGCCTGTACCAATTTAAAGTGATGCCATTTGGACTAAAGGGAGCTCCCGCAACGTTCTGCCGACTCGGAAACGAGGTATTCCGCGGCTACATCGGGGATTTCGTCCAAATATATTTAGACGACATCGTGGTATACTCCAAAAACATAGAGGACCACAAGGGACACCTACAGAAGGTACTAGAACGATTACAACGATACGGACTAACATGCCAACCAAAAAAATGTAAAATAGGGCTACCAAAAATACACTTCCTAGGTCACGTAGTAGACGGAGACGGAATAGATAAGGAAATCGACAAACTGGAATTCATAAAAAAATTCCCAACGCCAAAAAATGTAAAAGACATACAACGATTCCTAGGGATATGCGGATGGTACAACCAGTTCGTGAAAAACTACTCAGACATTGCAACACCCCTCACCAATGTGCTAGCGAAAGGAAACACGTGGAAATGGACAACACGGGAAGAACAGGCATTCGTCAAACTCAAAGAAGCAGTAACACAAGCGCCGAGGCTATCCCCACCAGACTACACGAAACCATTCGTGCTGCAAACAGACGCAAGCGAAATAGGGGTAGGAGCCGTGCTATTCCAAAGAGGAGAAACCCCCATAAATAGACACATAATTAGCCATGCAAGTAAAAAACTGAACACAGCACAAACCAACTACCCAGCAGTGGAACGGGAATGCCTGGCGATAATATGGGCGGTAGATAAATACCGACCATACCTAGAGTCGGGACATTTCGAACTACTCACGGACAATGCAGCACTAAAATGGCTGGAAACAGCAAAACACAGCAACAAAAAATTACTACACTGGGCAATGCAATTGGAACCATACAACTACACGGTTAAACACGTGCCGGGAACCGAAAACGAAGCAGCGGACGCCTTATCAAGGAACCCACCTGAGGGGACGGAAGTCAACGAGGAGCTGCTGGAAAATAACGTAATCGAACCACCAACCGGAAAGGAAACTCCACAAAAACAACAACACACAATTGGATCAATCACAGGAACCACCACGAACGGGGAATCCCACATCACGCGGGACAAAATAAAGAGGTGGCAACAAGATGACAAACAAATACACCGAATAATTGAAGAGCTACAAACACAAAAACCCAACGGAAACACTGGAAGGAAAAACCAGATATACGAAATGGACGATGGAATCCTCCACAAAAAAACGGCAAACGGGGAATTCCCAATGGTAATACCCAGATCAGCAGCGAACCACGTGCTGTGGAAATACCACAACCACCCGCTGGTAAACCACCCGGGATGGAAGGAAACCTACAGATCGATCAAAGGGAAATACTGGTGGAAAAACAGTAGATTCGAAACGTCCCAATACGTCAGAGACTGCCACATCTGCGCATGCACCAAACCGGTAAATGCGAAACCAGAGGACATAATGACGACAAGAATACCGAGGCAACCCTGGGAAGTACTAAGCGTAGACTTGATGGGCCCCTACCCAAGAACAGCGAGGGGAAAAACGCAAATACTAGTTGTCACGGACTGCTTCAGCAGATGGGTGGAGGCCTACCCAATTGGGACAGCAACCACAAGAATTATAGTCGAAACAATCGAAAAAGAATTCTGTTCACGTTACGGATACCCACGCGTTATACTATCAGATAACGGACCACAGTTCGTATCAAAACTAATGAAGGATACACTAACCAAATGGGGAACCGAAGCATGGACAACCCCAATATACCATCCACGGGCAAACCCAGTAGAACGGCGAAACCAAGAAATCAAAAAAGGCTTACGAACACAACTACTGGGGAAACCCCATAGGACATGGGACGGGCTCTTACCATCGATAATGTTCGCCATACGAAACAGGAAAAACCAAAACACAGGTCACTCTCCCACCGAATTGGTACTAGGCAAAGAAGCCAAGGCACCAGGGGACTGGTTCCTCCAGGGGGGGGGAGGGAGTCAGGAGGAAATTCCCGGACCGGGAAAACCCCTAACTGAGAAAACACACCGACAAACGGGTAGTCCCAGACACAAAGTAGGTGACTGGGTCTACTACCGGAACCACCCACAATCCAAGGGGGACCAAGGCTTCCACGCAGGCTTCGCCCCAAAATGGCTGGGACCAATTAGGCTGAAGAGATACTTGGGAGCCGGGGTATTCATCACTGAATCTAACCCCGAACACAAACTACATAGTTCGTGCTTTAAACGCACGAGGGACCCTAATAGCGAACTCATTACTATCACAGATGGCAGGCCAGAATCCGCAGCGGGCGGACCCGGGAAGACGGTTCAACCTGAACAACTCCGATTATCGACCCGGCAGGTCAACGGTGGCCGACATCGTACAGGAGCTACTGGACGGCGCCGCAACCAACTTGGTAATGGCCAGGCGCATGGCCGGGCGGGCCGCGGGAATCCCCATGTGGGAGGAACTGACCAGAACCTGGGAGATGAGGAACCACCGGTCCATTATCAAGAGTACAGCGACCCAGACCTCAGGACCCGAGGAGATAGGAGGCGCCGTGACGTCGCGAGGGACGCAAACCGATCCGCCCACAACCGCCGAACCAGGACAGGTGGGGAGGTGGGCCGTAGCGGCAACCGCCGCGGAACTGGTGGCTCACGCAGCGGTGCAGGTAGCACTGGATCGAGGGGTAGTCACCCAACCGATAACGACGAGCCGGACGTCCAGGAGCGTCAGGCGGACCACGTACAGCGCCCGACTCCGATCGCCACAACGGGCCAGGACCCACACCGCAGCCGAGGCAGTGGGCAAATGGTTACCGATGTTTCCTCCCGAGTTCCAGGAGGACACCGCCCCGAGAAGGACAAGAAGCGTCCAGACCAAGGCGCAGCGGAAAGCAGTCTCTCAACCGCCAACCCCCAAACCGGAGCCCGAGAAGGAAGAGGTCGAACCAGTGCTGCAGCTCAGCGTGCTCGACGGAGACCTCCCGGACATCGACCTCCTGATGGGCGAAATCATGAGCGACTAAGCACTCACCCCGAAGGGTCCCGCGGACGCGCCGACCGGTCTGGGGGGGGAGCATGTCGCGGTCGTTACCCACCACGCGGGTAACGGCCGCTGCGTGCGCTCTGCCCGACCGGTCGTCGGTACGCTCGACCCGGGTCAGAGTGGGGGTGCCCGTGCCGTGGGTGGGGACGGCGGTCTCGACCGACGTCTGCGCCGGTGGCGCGGCGGCGCCTCTGTCTTATTCCTAACGCGTTACGTTATGTACGCCTGTTAACTTATGTTCAATATATAATAAAGTATACATTAACTATAAACATCGTATTGTTATTGAGTGTACCATCTTCCGCTACCACAACCAGGGCACCGTGTCAAGTTGGCACCCGAAGGTAAATGCGTTTTGGAAAACAAAAAAAAAAAAATTAGAAATTAAACAATAGGACCACACATGAAAGAGTTCAAACTAAAATGTCCAGGTTCTTAAATAGATAATACTATTTAAAATAATTAGTGCAGGTTATCAATGTTCACATCATAACAAAAAATTTAACTAGAGTTAAATAACTAAAAAAAAAATGTGAAGGGGGGTGTTGGCGCCCGAAGGCAAATCTGTTTGAGAAAACAAAAAAAAAATTCGAAGAAATTAAATAATAGGACCACACATGAAAGAGTTCAAACTAAAATGTCCAGAAACTTAACAGAAAAACTATTCAAAATGATAAGATCATTAAAGAAAGATAATTCATAGGGCCAATGCAGGTTATCAACGTTCAGGTCTAAACAAAATATTTAACTAGAGTTAAATAACTAAAAAAAAAAATTGAAGGGGGGTGTTGGCGCCCGCAGGCAAATGCGTTTTAGAAAAAAAAAAAAAAAAATTAGAAGAAATTAAACAATAGGACCACATATTAAAGAGTTCAAACTAAAATGTCCAGAAACTTAAACAGATAACACAAAACAAAAAAAAAATAGAAGAAATTTAACAATAGGACCACACATTAAAGAGTCAGGTTATCAACGTTCAAGTCTAAACAAAATATTTAACTAGAGTTAAATAACTAAAAAAAAAAAAATTGAAGGGGGGTGTTGGCGCCCGCAGGCAAATGCATTTTAGAAAACAAAAAAAAAATTAAATTAGAAGAAATTAAACAATAGGACCACACATTAAAGTGTTCAAACTAAAATGTCCAGAAACTTAACAGAAAGAACTATTCAAAATGATAAGTTCATTAAAGAAACATGATTCATAGGGCCAATATATGCCATCAACATGATTTCAGAATGTTTAGCTTATATGAAAGGGAAATGCAAAATGGAAATGTAATTTTAGGTTAGGTTAGTGAAGTGTGTGTAGCAGATATGAGAATATTAAGTTAGGTGTTGAGGTACAAAGGAGGATAGAATAGGAAATTTATTAATTAAAGGTTGTGTAGTGTTGTGTTGTAGCATATATTGTAGTGAAAACAAGAGAGAACAGGTTTAGGTGGCTCCGTGACCGTATGATAAAATATAGTGAGAGTGGCTATAGAAGTTAGAGTCTGAAGAAAAGATGGATAGACAGAATACCGATCATATGGAGGTGTGGGATGAGAGTGGTTGAACCTGAATAGTTGTGAGAGAAGGGGGAAGAAAAAGTGTGAAGGTAGAATAGTTATGTTAACAATGCCGAATACGTAGTAAAGGATCTTGAATTGCAAAGGTCACTTGACTCTTTGGCTGAAACTACCGTTATCAGTTGATATAGGTTTAGAACAGGGATCGGCAACTGGCGGACCGCGGTCCGGATCCGGACCGCGGAAGGCAAAACTATAGACCCTGTCAACACATTGTACTTCATTATGTTATTTTCTATAATAGTATTATTATTAATACAGACATTAATTTAATTTAATTTATCAAACTCAGATTATAGTTATATCATAATTCATTGAAAAATATTTTATCGGACAGGTAATAATCGGTTAGGTTGTTCTCCACGAGTTCCCGATTTCAAAAAGCTGGCTAAGGAAAAGAAATACAATTTTTCGCATTAAATAATTTACTGTAATAAATATATTTTTTTTCATACTTTTATTTTAACCTAAACTAACCTAACCTAACCTAACCTTTGGAATTTTTAATATAAATTAATTGTAATAACTGAATAATTATTTTTATTTTTAAACTGCTATTTTTAAAATATAAAGATTTAAAAAATATTTTTTTCACTAGACCTCATTGATTTATTATTTTAATCTTTAGGACTCCAATAGAAATTACTTGCCGACCCCTGGTTTAGAACCTTGACTTATGGAATAAAATAAAAAAGATCGGTTGCCGGTTTTGATGTCAGCGCCATAGATATATACAACAACTAGATAGCCTTCTCCTTTTTGTCATCGAAGTCGACCCCCCATTTACAAAGCAGGCAATGTTTACAAAATAATATTATTATCATAGTATATATGTATATAAATAAATGTAAACATTGCCTGCTTTATAAGTGGCGGCCGATTTCAACATTGGTCACAACTGTAATATAAAGACGGCTATCTAGTTGTTGTATATATCTATGGCGATGACATCCTAACCGGGAATTCGGGGGAGGAGGGGACAAAAGGAGCAGTTGCTCCAGGCGGCAGGGACGGCCAAATAATTAAGAGTGGCAAAAAAATGTCATTTGTAATATAATAAAAATAAAATATTTAGTAGAATAAATATTAATTTTTTTTTTACGAATTTGCGATGTCAATATTGTCAGAATATCTAAAATCGTAATGGAATCTTATATTAGAACTTATAGGTCTACTTATTTTAAGAGAACGCTGTTTGTGGACCTTGTTTTCGTAATAACCTAGTACCTGCGTACTAATTGAATTATTTTTAATATTATCATTATTCATCACTACATAATATATTGACATGTTATAGCCGCCGGGGCACCGAACTGCCAGAATTATACGATATTGCCACCTACCATTAAATATTTTTTTTTTTTTTTTTTTTTTTTTTTTATTAATTTTATCCCGCGGCAACTTAGACCATTGGGAGATGGGTGGGTACTGTAGGTTTTTAACGGTAGGGGGGTGTTACACGTGGGTGTATTTTGGCAGAATTTTGAATGGGGCACCCGTAGGTTTCTGCCATGCCCCGGAGTGGGGGATGGCGGCACTTGTTTTCCGGACACCGTGACTTGCCCGGATAAAAATGCCGCCCAGTGGCCGGGAGTCGAACCCGCGACTGCCAGCGCCGCAGACGACGCGTTAGACCACTCGGCCACCTCGTCCCCACCATTATATTGCAGTACTGACTACTGAGACTATGTAGCTTGTTATTCGATTATAATATCTATTATATTCCTATATATTTGATCTTTACTATTTACTTGTACAAGAAATAACGAAGGTTTTGAACTTGGTAAATTTTTAGGATAATGTTAGTGTTATATAATATTTAAAATTTTAGACATAGTACCTATACCTACTTCCTTAGTCGTTTATCATTACAATAATTCATAGGTATAGGTATAGAATATACCATATAAGAGACATGAGTTTGAAATTAATAATGAAACGTAGACATATTGTGTATGTAATAATTTATTAATTTGTATAAATTGTATCTGTTTCATTATTTTATTCAATGTTTTATTTCATTTTTATTTTGACTTGAATATAGTTCGGCAACGTTGCACTTAATTTCGTTCTCAATAGTACTGTTTTATTGGGTCAGCGGTTATTTCATTGTTCCATTTCGAGTGATCTCAATCGTACGCTAAGAAAGGTCGAACGTTCTCAATCGTATTACAGCCAAATAATTAAGAGTGGCAAAAAAATGTCGTTTGTAATATAATAAAAATAAAATATTTAGTAGAATAAATATTAATTTTTTTTTACGAATTTGCGATGTCAATATTGTCAGAATATCTAAAATCGTAATGGAATCTTATATTAGAACTTATAGGTCTACTTATTTTAAGAGAAATCTGTTTGTGGACCTTGTTTTCGTAATAACCTAGTACCTGCGTACTAATTGACTATTTTTAATATTATCATTATTCATCACTACATAATATATTGACATGTTATAGCCGCCGGGGCACCGAACTGCCAGAATTATACGATATTGCCACCTACCATTATATTTTAGTACTGACTAGGTACTGAGACTATGTAGCTTGTTATTCGATTATAATATCTATTATATTCCTATATATTTGTATCTTTACTATTTACTTGTACAAGAAATAACGAAGGTTTTGAACTTGGTAAATTTTTAGGATAATGTCATTGTTATATAATATTTAAAATTTTAGACATAGTACCTATACCTACTTCCTTAGTCGTTTATCATTACAATAATTCATAGGTATAGGTATAGAATATACCATATAAGAGACATGAGTTTGAAATTAATAATGAAACGTAGACATATTGTGTATGTAATAATTTATTAATTTGTATAAATTGTATCTGGTTCATGTGGTTAAATATATTGTAAAATACAATACCTGCCTGAGTGTAGCATGAGTAGATAACTAATGAGTAGATAAGCATATAGTTTTTTTGTAAGTATATTGTATAATGTTTGTTAGAGCGTAGCGATAAATTTTTTTTTGGTTATTTAGTTGTAAAAAAAATGCGTATACTGAATTATTGACGTCATATTTATGTTTGCTTCCCCATAAATTGTCCCTTGATATAGCCCTGTGACACTAACTCGTGTAAACAATTTGAAGCACATATAAGCGATCAACGAGTCTCTGACGTTTTTATTGATACATACCAATATGAGACATTCCTCTTCTCACATCTATCAGAGTCAGAGACTTGTCATTAATATGTGCTCAAAATTATCGGGATGTGGACCCATTCATAGTATATGATTCAAAGTTGACACAATAAGACTGTGATCACAACTTGGAAGTATGATTGGATGTAGATTGTAAAAGTAATAAGTAGCTATTAATGATTTAATACATATTTAATTAATGATTTATCAGCATGCATTCTCCCGTCTTGCAAGTAGGTATCAATTTCAGCGGAT